AAATGTGTAGTAAGTACCTATTACTAATAATAAAGGTAAAAAGACAATTAGAACTTAAAAAAAAATCAAATTACAGGCATGAGGGCTTAGCATTTTCAGACTGCTCCTATATACATTAACGTATATTCCAGATATGTACTGTATATAATAGTTGGCTTTCAATATTTCTGTTTGTGAAGCATATATTATAACTTTTAGGAACTCGCGTAGTTTTGGTTATTAAATATTAAAACTATTATTCTGAATGGATGGATTTAAATTTAAAAAAAAAAAAGAATTCTGAATATTCTAACGTGCATTACTTTCCAAGCGCAAAATGTACATAATATATTTAGGTATAGGTACCTACATCTAAAGATTTAAATATGAAATTTTAATTTTTAATTTTATTATTTTTAATATTTGAGGGCACTTTTCATTTATATATGTATTATATGGATACTATTTAATTTCTAAATAAAATATATTACGCTTCCTCATAGGATATAATATAAGCCTATTATTATTAACCTATTATTAATAAATTGCTATATAGCTTGGATATTTGTAGGTACCTACCTATTTACCTATTATACGTTTTATATTTATGTATAAATATTAATCTTATAATATATTACAGTTATATCATTATCAAAGTTTTGATAATATCTTCAATATTTTCAATTTTTTTTTTTACGTACTTGCTAAAATATTTATTCTATATAGGTATACATTTTTAAATAATGATCTTCAAATTCTACACAAAGTTCCACATAATTTGTATTGTTGAATTAAAAAAGTAGGTGCATCGTGCATTTATAAATATTTTAGTGCAATTTTTTAGTATTGTGGATTTCCTAAGTCATTAAATTGTTTTTTTTTCATTTTTAGGGAATTGATGGTTTAATAATAATTTAACTATTCTCATAAAATGTGATAAAGACTGCAACGTTAATACCTAGGTAAATTTGTATAAACCTATATACCTATATATGTATATATATCACATAAAATTCAAATTTAATTTTAATTTTAGGTTTATATTTTATAGATTGGTATATCATCTATATTTATAAACCTATATTTAACTTTAATTTTAGTTAAGAAGCATAATACCCATAATGTACCTATAATTTATGTATGTGATGAGTAGGGTTCGGTTTTAAATGCCCTTTCAAAAAATGTATTATTAAATAAATTCGAATTATTATTAAAAAATGAAATTGTATTTGCACTACACTGCACAAAAAATTTATAATAAAATTGGCTAATTGGATAAGTTCAAAATAGTTCAAAATGAAAATAATTTATATTACGTAGTACTATACTACTATATATGTAGTAGGTACCTACTTATATTTCAATGAGGTCAAATTTGTAGTCATAATACTAGAAATAGGTTTAAAATGTCCAAAAAAATTAAAAAATACATTAAAAACTTCGGTGGTTAGAACACCRAGTAATTGAAACATTTTTGTAGCTTGGAAAGCATCACGTAAGACATCTCAAAAAAGATGCAAATGCATTGAATTATCCGAGTCGTAATGATGAACATTTATTACGATATGTCGATATAACCTTATAATATACCTATACATCAATTAGGTTAAGTATACCTATAAAATAATTATGATTTAGTTAAATATTRAATAAATCTTATTGTATTGGTATATTGATGTTACCATATAGGTTGTATAATAATATGTCTTTATTATTACTTATAATAAGACATTTATGATACGTAACTACATATTTATAAAAAAACCGTTTTATTTTTTAACTACGCCCTTTTTTATCTATATATTTATACTACCTACCATCTACATTTTATTATCGTGTTCCAATTTTTCAATAGTATATAAATTAAAAAACTGTATAGGTACTAGCTGGTTTGTTTTTAGGTATTTCGGGGAATATAGGTAAAATAAGTAGATATTAATCGCTATAATGCTGGACTTTTGTATATAATGCGCTCTAAATAAAAAAAAAATAAGTTAGAATAATAAATTAGTGTTTAAATTCACAATAATTAGGTACAACAGAATTATTATTTAATAATCAAGTAGTTTAGAAAAAATAATGGACCGACAAGTTTTTAATTAACAAAATTGATATCTGTATTCTGTATTTGTGATGGACCAGTGATCATCAAAATTATTACGATAAATCCTTAACTATATATATTGTGTTATTTTAAAATTTACAGATTACAACATGCCACAACGTAAAAATGAATAAAATAAATTTTTTATGCTGAAATCTAAGGCAATTTTTTTCTCATATATACCTTATACCTAAAAATGAAAAATTCCAGAATTGCCTCGTTAGAATAACTTGCTCTTAAACTTCAAAAACCAAGACAAAATTGAAATATTTAATCATGTAATAAATACATTAAAATCTGAGTCCTAATTCTCTACAGATACTCTAATCCTATATAACCCTGCAGGATTAGTTTACCTATAAATTTATTTTTAAAGTATAAATCTAATAAATATGCACAGCCAAAACACAAATTATAAAAAGTTATAATTATAGTTGTATGATATATGATATATATAACAGATATATGTATAATGCGCCTGTAGACACCTATATGTTTTATTAGAGTTTATACCCTATTAACATATAATATATATAAGCCACTGCAGTTTACATGGAAATATTTATTATGTTTCAAAGTTTCAATTTGTGGGACGTAAAGGGGTATAATCTACCGCCTACATGAAACTGAACAATATTCTTGATTCATATACCTATACCTACTGTGTTTTTTAAGTTTATCAAAAATATGATTGTTCTTAAATCTGTTTAAAATTTAAAAAAAAATTATGTATATTGTGCTTGAATGTCAAATTTAAATCATTTATGTACATAATAATTAACTAATTATAAGTATAGATTTACACACGTTAATATAATTGTATTCTATAAGATTCAAATGACAGGTGATGCCTAATAAAATATTTAGTCAAATTTCAGAATGAAAGCAACAAAGGTATATAATAGTATATAAATCAGCTTGTAACTAAATAATTTGAATGAACCTAACTATATTTATATATTTTACAATAGGTACCTACCTATTATAATTTCAAATATTAAAATGACATTGTGTGTTTTAACCAAAATCGCGTGATTGTGACTTTTACGGAAAAATTAGCTGCTGGGTATTCTATATAGTTGTATATGAGGTCTTCCATTGTTACCACGGACATAATATATGATAAATTGATAACGTTATAAATTAAATAAATAATATATTAGTATTATCATCGAAAATTAAGTATTATTTAGTATTGATGCGTTAAAAAAATTAATATAGCTAATGTAACATATAACTACAGTAGATACAGTAACTTGTTTTGATAAAATATTATAAAACAAGATTACAATAGTATTTCTAGTTGATAACACTCACCAACGGAATATTTTTTACCTACGTCCTACTTAGTTTTCTTTGTTTTATAATGATATGATGGATATTGCCAACATTTTATCAAATTGCAAATACGTTTTTATCTTTTAGAGTCCCACAAGTTATACCCTATATAATACATTGGTTCAACCAATCAGCTATTCGAATATCATTTATACTAGCTATATTGTTCAGTATATATTGATATTTAGTTATCCTTTTAAACATACATTCAGTGAACTGTGTTTATATATAAATTATACAAACCCAATTCAAATTGATGGCTCTAATTACATCACAAAAATTAAAA